TTCTATAGAACATGCCTCTACATACTGTTTGATAAGGTTTTAGATAAAAAAGAAGCCTTTTTAAAGTTAAAAAACGTCCTTCTTCAAAAGTCGAAAAATTTGCAGTTTCGCAAAGGGGTTACTTTTGGTCCAAATTTTGAAATTTATTGCATGTGTAATTTTCCATAGAATAGGCCAGTAGATACTATTTCATAATATGTTCGGTATAAAACAAGCCTTTCTCGACTATAAAAAGGGTCATTTTAAAAAACTGGAAAAATTGGCTTTTTCGCAAAGGGGTTAACCCACGATTTGAGTCAAAAATTTTAAATTTGTTGGATGTGTGTTTTTCTATAGAACATGCCTCTATATACTGTTTGATAAGGTTTTAAAGAAAAAACAAGCCTTGCTAGAGTTAAAAAACGTCGTTCTCCAAAAGTCGAAAAATTTGCATTTTCGCCAAGGGGTTACTTTTCGACAAAAATTTGAATTTTATTGCATGTGTAATTTTCCATAGAATAGGCCAGTAGATATTGTTTGATAATATGTTAGGTATAAAACAAGGTTTTCTTAACTATCAAAAGGTCATTTTAAAAAACTGGAAAAATTGGCATTTTCGCAAAGGGGTTTACTCACGATTTTGGTCAAACATTTAAAATTTCTTGGATGTGTGTTTTTCTATAGAACATGCCTCTATATACTGTTTGATAAGGTTCTAGAGAAAAAATAAGCCTTTCTAGAGTTAAAAAACGTCCTTCTTCAAAAGTCGAAAACATTTCCATTTTTGCAGAGGGGTTATTATTGGTCAAAAATTTGAAATTTATTGCATGTGTAATTTTCCATAGAATAAGTCAGGAGATATTGTTTGATAATATGTTAGGCATAAAACAAGTCTTTCTCGGGTATGAAAAAGACATCAAAAAGATAGAAAAATTGGCATTTTCGATTTTGGTCAAAAATTTAAGTCGTTCCTTTTAGCAAAAAATTTGAGATTTATTACATGTGTAGTTTCTCATAGAATAACCCAGGAGCAGGAGCCAATCGGCTCCTGTCCAGTAGATATTGTTTGATAACATGTTAGGTATAAAAAAAAGCCTTTCTCGACTATAAAAAGGTCATTTTAAAAAACTAGAAAAATTGGCATTTTCGCAAAGGGTTTTACCCACGATTTTGGTCAAAAATTTAAAATTTCTTGGATGTGTGTTTTTCTATAGAACATGCCTCTATATACTGTTTGATAAGGTTTAAGAGAAAAAACAAGCCTTTGAAGAGATAAAAAACGTCCTTCTCCAAAAGTCGAAAAATTTGCATTTTCGCCAAGGGGTTACTTTTGGACAAAAATTTGAAATTTATTGCAGGTGTAATTTTCCATAGAATAGGCCAGGAGATATTGTTTGATAACAGGTTAGGTATAAATTAAGGCTTTCTCGACTATGAAAAGGTCATTTTAAAAAACTAGAAAAATTGGCATTTTTGCAAAGGGTTAACCCACGATTTTAGTCAAAAATTTAAAATTTCTTGGATGTGTGTTTTTCTATGGAACATGCCTCTATACACTGTTTGATGAGGTTCTAGAGAAAAAATAAGCCTTTCTAGAGTTAAAAAACGTCCTTCTTCAAAAGTCGAAAACATTTCCATTTTTGTAGAGGGGTTATTATTGGTCAAAAATTTGAAATTTATTGCATGTGTAATTTTCCATAGAATAAGTCAGGAGATATTGTTTGATAATATGTTAGGCATAAAACAAGTCTTTCTCGGGTATGAAAAAGACATTAAAAAAATAGCAAAATTGGCATTTTCGATTTTGGTCAAAAATTTAAGTCGTTCCTTTTAGTAAAAAATTTGAGATTTATTACATGTGTAGTTTCTCATAGAATAACCCAGGAGCAGGAGCCAATCGGCTCCTGTCCAGTAGATATTGTTTGATAACATGTTAGGTATAAAAAAAAGCCTTTCTCGACTATAAAAAGGTCATTTTAAAAAACTAGAAAAATTGGCATTTTCGCAAAGGGTTTTACCCACGATTTTGGTCAAAAATTTAAAATTTCTTGGATGTGTGTTTTTCTATAGAACATGCCTCTATATACTGTTTGATAAGGTTCTAGAGAAAAAAAATTTCAAGCCTTTGAAGAGATAAAAAACGTCCTTCTCCAAAAGTCGAAAAATTTGCATTTTCGCCAAGGGGTTACTTTTGGACAAAAATTTGAAATTTATTGCAGGTGTAATTTTCCATAGAATAGGCCAGGAGATATTGTTTGATAACAGGTTAGGTATAAATTAAGGCTTTCTCGACTATGAAAAGGTCATTTTAAAAAACTAGAAAAATTGGCATTTTTGCAAAGGGTTAACCCACGATTTTGGTCAAAAATTTAAAATTTCTTGGATGTGTGTTTTTCTATAGAACATGCCTCTATATACTGTTTGATAAGGTTTTAGAGAAAAAACAAGCCTTGCTAGAGTTAAAAAACGTCCTTCTCCAAAAGTAAAAAAAATTGCATTTTCGCAGAGGGGTTACTTTTGGTCAAAAATTTGAAATTTATTGCAGGGGTAATTTTCCATAGAATAGCCAAGGAGATATTGTTTGATAATATGTTAGGTATAAAACAAGCCTTTCTTGGGTATGAAAAGGTCATTTTAAAAAACTAGAAAAATTGGCATTTTTGTAAAGGGTTAATCCACGATTTTGGTCAAAAATTTAAAATTTCTTGGATGTGTGTTTTTCTATAGAACATGCCTCTATATACTGTTTGATAAGGTTTTAGAGAAAAAAACAAGCCTTGCTAGAGTTAAAAAACGTCCTTCTCCAAAAGTCGAAAAATTTGCATTTTCGCAGAGGGGTTAGTTTTAGTCAAAAATTTGAAATTTATTGCAGGGGTAATTTTCCATAGAATAGGCCAGGAGATATTGTTTGATAATATATTAGGTATAAAACAAGCCTTTTTCGGGTATGAAAAAGACATTTAAAAAAAATAGAAAAATTGGGATTTTCGATTTTGGTCAAAAATTCAAGGCGTTCCTTTTGATAAAAAATTTGAAATTTATTGCATGTGTAATTTCTCATAGAATAACCCAGGAGCAGGAGCCAATCGGCTCCTGCCTAGGAGATATTGTTTGATAATATGTTGGGTATAAAACAAGCCTTTCTCGGGTATGAAAGGGTCATTTTAAAAAACTAGAAAAATTGGCATTTTCGATTTTGGTCAAAAATTCAAGGCGTTCCCTTTGGTCAAAAATTTGAAATTTATTGCATGTGTAATTTCTCATAGAATAACCCGGGAACAGGAGCCAATCGGCTCCTGCCCAGGAGATATTGTTTGATAACATGTTCGGTATAAAACAAGCCTTTCTCGACTATAAAAGGGTTATTTTAAAAAACTAGAAAAACTGGCATTTTCGCAAAGGGGTTAACTCACGATTTTGGTCAAAAATTTAAAATTTCTTTGATGTGTGTTTTTCTATAGAACATGCCTCTATATACTGTTTGATAAGGTTTTAGAGAAAAAACAAGCCTTTCTAGAGTTAAAAAACGTCGTTCTCCAAAAGTCGAAAAATTTGCAGTTTCGCAAAGGGGTTACTTTTGGTCAAAAATTTGAAATATATTGCATGTGTAATTTTCCATAGAATAGGCCAGTAGATATTGTTTGGTAATATGTTAGGTCTAAAACAAGCCTTTCTCGACTATAAAAAGGTCATTTTAAAAAACTGGAAAAATTGGCATTTTCGCAAAGGGGTTAACCCACGATTTTGGTCAAAAATTTAAAATTTCTTGGATGTGTGTTCTTCTATAGAACATGCCTCTATATACTGTTTGATAAAGTTTTAGAGAAAAAACAAGCCTTTCTTGAGTTAAAAAACGTCCTTCTCCAAAAGTCGAAAAATTTGCATTTGTGCAATTTAAAATTTCTTGGATGTGTGTTTTGTTTTATAGAGTAGGCCTGGATACACTGCTTAATAATGGTTGGAGAGAAAAGAATTCTCTCTACACTATAAGAAAGTCATTAAAAAAGTCTAGAAATTTAAGTGTGGGCAACGGGGTAACCTTAGATTTTGGTCAAAAATTTTAAATTTCTTGCACGTGTGTTTTCTATAGAATAGGCCTGGATATACTGTTTAATAATGTTTGGGGGGAAAAAAAACAAGCCTTTCTAGACTTTGAAAAGGTCATTTCAAAAAGTCGGAAAATTTGTACTTTCGCAAAGGGGTTGGTCCACGATTTTGGTCAAAAATTTAAAATTTCTTTCATGTGTAATTTTTCTATAGAATAGGCCTTATAAATTGTTTGATAATGTTTTATTGATAAATCATCTTCTCTAGACTATAAAAAGGTCATTTTCAAAAAGTCGAACAAGTTGCATTTTCCCAAAGGGGTTAACCCACGATTTTGGTCGAAAAATTGAAATTTCTTTCAAGGGTAACTTTCTATAAAATAGGCCTGAATATACTGTTTGATAATACTTTAGTGAAAAAACATTCTTTTTAGACTACAAAAACGTCATTTAAAAGAGTGGAAAAGTTTGCATTTTCGTACAGGGTTCAACCGACGATTTTCGTCAAAAATATGAAATTTCGTGCATGTGTGTTGTTCCATAGAATAGTCCTGGATATACCGTTGACAAAGTTTAAGAGAAAAGGTCATTGACTATGAAAACGTATTTGTAAAAAAAGTCGAAACATTTGCATTTTTCGAAAGGAATTTACTCACGATTTTTGTCAAAAATTTGATATTCCTTTGATGAGGTTTTTCCTTAAAATAGGCCTGGATATACTTGGACGAGTTCTCGAATTACCTTGAGTTAACAGTTGAAATTTAAATACCTTCGATACATGACAGGTTAGTTCAGTAGCGGGCTGTTTTGCCTATTTCCTTGGTGGTTTTCTGAAGCATGACCACACATTAAAATTTCTCAGTATATTTGGACCTTTTAGAAGCTTGGAGGAAATTTCAAATCATAATTAAAAATAATAATAATAATAATAATAATAATAATAATAATAATAATAATAATAATAATAATAATGAAAAGCCCAATAAAGGGGTGGGGGGAGTTTTTATCATTAAAAACAAAGATGGCAAAAAATCTCAAAATGACATTTCACAAATGACATTTTATAGTATAGAAAGCCTTGTTTTCTATCTACAGCATCATCAAACATTATGTAGGCCTCTTATAAAAGAAAAACATCGTAAACCTTGCAATGTTGCCCGCTCAGAGAAACAATCTTCATTGTTAGATATCATGTGACCTGAGGTAACCAATGAGAGTGCATGCTGTTGGGACAGTAAGAGTTAACCCATGTAATATCCAGTTAAACACAAGTCAATCTTGTACCCAGAGTCTTCTGGCTTTTTGGACGTCGGCAAGACTCTGGGTACGAGATGGGACACAATTTGTATATGCCTTGCACTTTTCAGGTTGTAAGTAAGACATTTTAAGCCCCCCCCCCTTAACGGACGTACATGCGTACATACGTTCTCTAGGTACGAATTTATCATTTTCAAATAGACCATAATGCACCTTGTTAACCCCTAAAATTTTGCATAACCAATGTCTTCGATTTCCGTTTTTACCCTAATGCAAAATTTTGGGGGGTAAAAAATATGCATCACTGTCGGTGTGAAAATGGTGGATGGATAATTTCGTGAGAACCAACATTTCTTTGGTGAATAGGTAACCAAATTTCTCTTACCCATGGTGTTCCACCCTGCTAAAAGTTGTAGAGTGAAAATGATTTAGGAATGGCCTTCCATCAATTTTCTTTCTTTAACCCTTTAAGCCTTAAGTGTGATCAGCATCAATTTTCTTTGCTCCATAAAACATTATGGTCACAAGAATTAAGGGATTGATCACACAAGATGAATTCAATTGATACTCTAACAACTTCTCCCCACTACTTCTAGAAGGAAGTGTATGGAGACAACAAATGAGAATTTAAATCTTGATATCACGGTTTAAAGGGTTAAACTGGATTGCCACACGCATTCTGTCCTATAAGTGTTGTCCTTAGCGACCTGTAAGTGTTGTCTTTTGCCGCCATTGATATTATATTGCACTCAAACTAGCTGCTAATTCATTAAAAAAAGCAGTTACAAATTACTTCCATATAGGAGGATATTAGCTCTCACAAAATCATTGCAAAGTTAAGCTTTGAAATTCTGTAAATATTATTGCTAATTTGAGAGGCTATCCCTTTAAGCCCAAAAATCCATGTGATACATTATTTCTCTACATCTCCAGACATTTCCTTAAAGAATAAGCTGAGATCAAAGCATTTCCCATTAACTCCTATTGCCTAAATTCTTTCTTTCTCTTTCTTTCTGGTTTAGGAGAAAAGTGACGTTGATCATGTTCAGGGCTGTGCTCTAACAGAGACCGGTGGCCCCTGGCGCCCAACTTTTGCTGCCGAGTGAATAGAAAATATTAGTTTTTTTATAGAAATCATATGCTGGGCACCCTGGATCTCATAGGTTTAGGGTACTAGACTCCTTTCAATTTTTTTTCAGAGCACCGCCTTGACCCTTGAGACTTGAAAGGCTTTACTGAAACCTGTCCACTGTCCAATGTTTCATCTGCTATCCATACAGTTCAAAGTGGGTCTTAAAAAAACTGACGGGGCCGTGTGGTATTAACACACTTCCTTGGGTCTGGGTATTGGATGAAACACTGTCTCCTCTTTAATAATTATTTTACATCCAAATAGTGTTCAAACACGTCAAAAAAATCTCTACAAGCTTATTGTTCCACTTGCAGTCATCTTAGTAGCACCTTCAGCTTGAACATCATCTGGAGTTCTTATTTCGATACTTGCTGCTGGCTCCATCTTGGTGCTTGATGGTGGTTTTCTGATTGGCCTTTTACTATTTCCAGCAACTATCAGGCTCCCAGGCACATTGACATAAAGGCGCACCCTGGCAAAATTAATGACAACAATAAAAAACAACTATTCATTGTTATATATAGAAGATCAACAGCTATCGATTTGTAGGTGTAATGAACAGGTTACAATTTATACACAACGTTTGACATTCATTTGAGTGGTAGCTAACTTGCTGGCAATTAACCTCGCGGATACTTAATTTTGCGATTTTGGCGAGATAGGGTTTCATTTTCACGATATCAATAGGCAATATATCAATAGGCAATAGATCAAGTGACAAAACGTTATTACACATGAAGACAACTGTTTCCAATTTTATCTTATTCACAAGAACATATACGCTTTTTTGTTAAAACACTCGGCAAATTCCCTTGAAAAAACATGACCTACAATGGGAAAGCAAAACATACAAGCTATAGAGTTCTATTAATTAGCTCAATTTTAACAGCGTTTTTACCTAAATTATTTATTTACATTACTTTTCTCTCTGTATAATCCCTAATATTAAAAGATGCAAGGCAAAGACTGTAGACAAACAAAATAATTGATATAAACTTAATTTTATTATGTTACACCCTGACAAGGGTCCAAGAAAGGCCACAAAAAAAAAATAGTTCTTATGCTCAAAACAATGGATCATGATTTAAACATTAATTTTTCTGCACAAACTTAGCCATCATTAGTTTTGTAAAATTAAATATTTCGAAAGGATCGAAACTGTTATCTTCTTTGTTAAAGTTACTACGTACGTTATGGACTTCATGTATACTATGTTTTATGACAGGGCTGTCATTAAGAGGAGGGGGCTGGGGGTTTTCCCCGGCTACTAATCTTCCCCGGCTGCTTTTGAAGCAAAATAAGAGAAAAATGGAACCGAAAGAAATTCCTAGCTGTTTGATTCCCCGCCTACTTGTTGTATTTACCTGGCAACTTGAAATCTTAGTGACAACCTGGAATTTATGCTTTCATAATATGTATGATTTTATACGTTCGGATATTTAAAATGGTTCTTTAATGTGGACGTTTATTTTGTTTCAGTCTGTTAACCCAAGGGTGTTTTACAGTTATACATTGAGAGCAGCAACAAAAACGTCATTAAAAAATACATTCTTTCAAAAATCTTCCCTATGCGAAACATTAAATTCTTAATAAGGACCAAGTATGAGTTCTGAGTTATATTCAACACATTACAAGACGTTAGGGATGGAAAGAACATACTAACAAGCAACTGCAAAATACTAACAGAGAGACTCTATGCACATCAGACAAGTGCGAGTTTTCCTTTCTTGTTAGAGTGAGCAAGACAAGGCGACAGAACGTTTTCTAAATTGGGGGGTGGATGCTGGCCTTTCACCCTGTGGCACAAGAAAATCAACAAATAGTTGACAAGTTTTGACATGGTAGTGCTAGCCTAGTTAGTAGGTTATCATTTAAATATTTTCACATTAATAATATTATTATTACTTTTAAGTTGCCTAAAGGACAAATAAGTTCTCAGCATCACAAGTTGGTGTGAAGAGGTTATGGAAGGCTAAAGTGTAGAGTGTAGAGTGTAGAGTGTATCATAAATTCAATCCGAACTGAATTAACCTTTTATTTTAACCCTTGTGGAACATTTTATTTCTTTAAGCTTTTTTGAAGTGTGTTTATTTAACTGGCATTCTTTATTGGAATCAAGGGCGTTAAATATGACTAAAATTTCAAAACATTTTGTCTTTAAAAAGTTAAAAAGGTAGTAATGCATTAAGGTAATTATAAGATTAAAGTAAAAACAAAAAAATAATTATTTTTAACACTGTACCAAGGGCAATCTCACCCAGGCAAATTGGGGACATTTTTGCTGAATATTTAAGTTTCAGACCCAACAATTTTTATCGTTTTTGACATCCTCTATCATAATCATAAATGACGTATCACTGTACGTGACATTAAAAAACTAAATATGTTAACATTTTTACCATTATAATTTTGTGATTGCATTGTGATATTACACTTGATCACAGTTGATTGACAACTTATCAGCAACAACAAATGTTGACATCCTGTGGATGTTCCTGTTCCGACTTTTTTTGCCGCATGAAACCAAAGAATGTCAAAGGAAATCAAAGAGCTTTACACTTTTTCCCAAGAAAAAGAAGCATGCCATACAGAGGAAACTCCTATCTTCCAGCTGCCGTTCTTTAATCAGGGCCTGTTCGATTGATGGTGTGCCGGGATAAGAATAAATGGAAGGAACCTCTAAAAATAACATTCATTGCACTGCAATATCTAGAAATATGCTTGAAAGAAAATATTCTGATGTCTGTAGCATTTGAGTGGACAAAAAATCACGTTACAAGAGATTTGATACGATCAATCAAAAGCACCCTTGGTGTCCAGGATGATACAACGATTTCTATCCTTAATCAGTGTTTCCTCTGTACTTTGTCGCATCAAGCAGCAGACACAGATGTGTGCGATTTTACAAAATCGGTCAGACTTGAACGTATTGTACTATTCATTGTAAAAGTAAATGGAGAGGTACTGTAATTTCAGGAGCTTAATTAAATATCAATATATTTTGGGATTGATTACCCCCCTGATCATACTACAGTAGGGGTTTGTTTTTTTGGGCTCACAGGTCTTTGCATCCTCGGAGAACCAGGGGCAGTCAATTCACGCCGGGAGAAAAGGCCTTCTCAAGTACTTTCGTTGCACCTTTTCTCCCGACCTGACTGACTGCAACTGGGTCTTCAAGGATGGGGTCACTGATAGGGAAAGACATTCTTTTCCATACTATTTCATACATGAACCTCTCTAATACCCTTTTTCTCCCTCCAGAGATATACATGTGCATGTACAGCTGTAAGTTTAAAACAAGAATTTGCAGTTTATGGTATGATTGCTGAGGGACTACTATTGCTATAAAAGTTGCAGGATTTTGTTGGTCATGGAAACAATAGAGACCTTAAGATCAAGATTTTTTGGCATTTTCCGAGAACCGCAAACACCAAGAAGTCATGTGACCAGTGCCTTGCTGTCAGGTTTGTAGTTTGATGTTCACGTTTGTATGGCTAGACCATGCTCTATAGGGTAAGTGACTTACAGCGAGGTGTATACATAATGATCCCATGTTTGAGAGGATATACTACTTTTCAGAATCCTTTCGCTTAGAAATAACATCGAATTCTTTTCATACAAGAGTAATTCTGAGGTTGATTTCTCAGCTTGAATAGGAGTGAACGAATGGATAAAAACAAACATGGCAGCTTCAAGCTACCACATGTGAATCTTAACTCCCAAATATGGACAGACTGGTAATGAGGAAACGCTAACCGACAACCATGGTTTGCCATTTGCAGTAAGATGGTCAAACCTTGATCTTAAGGTCTTTAATAGCCCCCACTGCCACTTCAAGGAATGATAAGCCACACTGGATATCCATAACACCCAACCTCCACTCAAGCAACACTGCTATTTCAATATTAATACTGTACATGTTACATGTATAATATCAAAAGTGACCAATTACTCCTTAATTTTGGCGTGAAATTTTAGCATTAATTTGTAATTTCACATGTGAAACTACAAAATTGCCATGGCAACCCTTCCGTATGTGTCAGTGTCAAGATGGCGACGAGGTTTTAAAATACCGTAAATGAAGATGTCAGGGCACAAAAAGACGCTTTAGAAAACCTGAACACACAAGAGAACATCTAGAAGGATTCTAACAGGTATTATTCCGAAAAAGTCTGAAAAATTCTGAACTTTATAAGCCAAATTTAAGGTCTAAACATTTGAGAGAGTGGAGTTCTCGATCAATACAATCCCGGATAAACATGTCAAAATTCCAAGATTGCTAACGTAATTCGTCACCCATGATATTAATAGGTAATCAAATGGTGTACTCGTGAAAAAATTTCACTTGTGTTTTCTCCAAATCCTAATAATTTCCCTCGCCTAAAGGCTTGGGAAATTAAAAGCTCAGGAAATTATTAGGATTTGGAAAAACGCGTGTGAAATTATTCCCTAATTTCACTCGTCACCATTTGATTACACATACTTATTATTTAACATGTAATATTATTTTATTAAGTATTTATAATATTTAAACAGCACGTAAAAGATTACATAATACCAAACCTGTCTTTAAGTTGTTCCACAAGGTAGGCAAACTTTCTATACTGCAGTGCACCAAACTCCTACAAACACAAATTGGCAATCAAAATCAACATTCACATGTAAATTTAGCAAATAATTAAGCTGTGCTGGGTATCAAGTTTAAACTTCAAATTTTGTTCCCTACACAAAAATATTTTTACATCTAGTTTTTCTTATGTTTATTTCTTCTCCACACCCGCCTTAATTAAATAAAGCTAACTGTGGGTTGCATGAAATGAATTAATAATTTCCTTTTTCTTTTTCAGTCTACTTTTATTCCTTGTTATCAGTTTGATGTGCAATAAAATTGTTGTTGTATAATAATTTATGGAATCTGATGCACAGAAACAAAAATAGATACATGTATACAAAAGTGGAGTTACAAAAAAGATCAGTAGAAGAAGACTGCGATATAACGACAGAATACTGCTGTCTCACCCGAATACAAAAGTGGAGTTACAAAAAAGATCAGTAGAAGAAGACTGCGATATAACGACAAAATACTGCTGTCTCACCCGAATACAAAAGTGGAGTTACAAAAAAGATCAGTAGAAGAAGACTGCGATATAACGACGATATAACGACAGAATACTGACTGTCTCACCCGAATACAAAAGTTACAAAAAGATCAGTAGAAGTTACAAAAAAAATACTGATCAAAAAGATCAGTAAAGAAGACTGCGATATAACGACAGAATACTGCTGTCTCACCCGAATACAAAAAGATCAGTGGAGCGATATAACGACAGAATACTGCTGTCTCAAAAAAAAGATTACAAAAAAGATAGTAGAAGAAGACTGCGATATAACGACAGAATACTGCTGTCTCAATACCAAATACAAAAGTGGAGTTACAAAAACAGAATATCAGTAGAAGAAGTAGAAGAAGCCTGCGATATAACGACAGAATACTGCTGTCTCACCCGAATACAAAAGTGGAGTTACAAAAAGATCAGTAGAAGAAGACTGCGATATAACTGCGATATAACGACAGAATACTGCTGTCTCACCCGAATACAAAAGTGGAGTTACAAAAAAGATCAGGAGAAGAAGACTGCGATATAACGACAGAATACTGCTGTCTCACCCGAATACAAAAGTGGAGTTACAAAAAAGATCAGTAGAAGAAGCGATATAACGACAAAATACTGCTGTCTCACCCGAATACAAAAGTGGAGTTACAAAAAAGATCAGTAGAAGAAGACTGCGATATAACGACAGAATACTGCTGTCTCACCCGAATGGAGTTACAAAAAAGATCAGGAAGAAGACTTATAACGAAAATACTGCTGTCTCACCCGAATACAAAAGTGGAGTTACAAAAAAGATCAGTAGAAGAAGACTGCGATATAACGACAGAATACTGCTGTCTCACCCGAATACAAAAGTGGAGTTACAAAAAAGATCAGTAGAAGAAGACTGCGATATAACGACAAAATACTGCTGTCTCACCCGAATACAAAAGTGGAGTTACAAAAAAGATCAGTAGAAGAAGACTGCGATATAACGACAGAATACTGCTGTCTCACCCGAATACAAAAGTGGAGTTACAAAAAAGATCAGTAGAAGAAGACTGCGATATAACGACAGAATACTGCTGTCTCACCCGAATACAAAAGTGGAGTTACAAAAAAGATCAGTAGAAGAAGACTGCGATATAACGACAGAATACTGCTGTCTCACCCGAATACAAAAGTGGAGTTACAAAAAATGCTGTCTCACCCGATCAGTAGAAGAAAAAAGATCAGTAGAAGAAGACTGCGATATAACGACAGAATACTGCTGTCTCACCCGAATACAAAATACAAAAGTGGAGTTACAAAAAAGATCAGTAGAAGAAGACTGCGATATAACGACAAAATACTGCTGTCTCATACAAAAGTGGAGAAAAAAAGATCAGAAGTAGATATAACGACAGAATACTGCGATATAACGACAAAAAAAGTGGAGTTACAAAAAGATACTGCTGTCTCACCCGAATAATACAAAAGTGGAGTTACAAAAAGATCAGTAGAAGAAGATCTGCGATATAACGACAGAATACTGCTGTCTCACCCGAATACAAAAGTGGAGTTACAAAAAAGATCAGTAGAAGAAGACTGCGATATAACGACAGAATACTGCTGTCTCACCCGAATACAAAAGTGGAGTTACAAAAAATCAGATCAGTAACGAAGAATACTGCTGTCTCACTGCGATATAACGACAAAATACTGCTGTCTCACCCGAATACAAAAGTGGAGTTACAAAAAAGATCAGTAGAAGAAGACTGCGATATAACGACAGAATACTGCTGTCTCACCCGAATACAAAAGTGGAGTTACAAAAAGATCAGTAGAAGAGACAGAATACTGCTGTCTCACCCGAATAAAAAGTGGAGTTACAAAAAGATCAGTAGAAGAAGACCTGCAAAATAACGACAAAATACTGCTGTCTCACCCGAATACAAAAGTGGAGTTACAAAAAGATCAGTAGAAGAAGACTGCGATATAACGACAGAATACTGCTGTCTCACCCGAATACAAAAAGTGGAGTTACAAAAAGATCAGTAGAAGAAGAAGCCTGCGATATAACGACAAAATACTGCTGTCTCACCCGAATACAAAAGTGGAGTTACAAAAGATCTGTAGAAGAAGATCATCAGTAGAAGAAGACTGCGATATAACGACAGAATACTGCTGTCTCACCCGAATACAAAAGTGGAGTTACAAAAAGATCAGTAGAAGAAGACTGCGATATAACGACAGAATACTGCTGTCTCACCCGAATACAAAAGTGGAGTTACAAAAAAGATCAGTAGAAGAAGACTGCGATATAACGACAAATATACTGTCTCACCCGAATACAAAAGTGGAGTTACAAAAAGTTACAAAAAGATCAGTAGAAGAAGACTGCGATATAACGAAGAAATACAAAAGTGGAGTTGCGATATAACGACAGAATACTGCTGTCTCACCCGAATACAAAAGTGGAGTTACAAAAAAGATCAGTAGAAGAAGCCTGCGATATAACGACAGAATACTGCTGTCTCACCCGAATACAAAAGTGGAGTTACAAAAAAGATCAGTAGAAGAAGACTGCGATATAACGACAGAATACTGCTGTCTCACCCGAATACAAAAGTGGAGTTACAAAAAAGATCAGTAGAAGAAGACTGTGATATAACGACAGAATACTGCTGTCTCACCCGAATACAAAAAGATCAGTAGAAGTGGGAGTTACAAAAAAAGATCAGTAGAAGAAGACTGCGATATAACGACAGAAAGAAGCCTGCGATATAACGACAGAATACTGTCTCACCCGAATACAAAAGTGGAGTTACAAAAAGATCAGTAGAAGAAGACAGTGCGATATAACGACAGAATACTGCTGTCTCACCCGAATACAAAAGTGGAGTTACAAAAAGATCAGTAGAAGAAGACTGCGATATAACGACAGAAAAATACTGCTGTCTCACCCGAATACAAAAAGTTACAAAAAGATCAGTAGAAGAAGCCTGCGATATAACTGCGATATAACGACAAAATACTGCTGTCTCACCCGAATACAAAAGTGGAGTTACAAAAATCAGTGGAAGTTACGAAAAAATACTGCTGTCTCACCCGAATACAAAAGTGGAGAAAAAAAGATCAGTACTGCGATATAACGACAGAATACTGCTGTCTCACCCGAATACAAAAGTGGAGTTACAAAAACAAAATACTGATCAAAAGTGGAGAAGAAGAAGAAGACTGCGATATAACGACAGAATACTGCTGTCTCACCCAAATACAAAAAGTGGAAGTTACAAAAACTGCTGTCTCACCCGATCAGTAGAAGAAAAAGATCTGCGATATAACGACAGAATACTGCTGTCTCACCCGAATACAAAAGTGGAGTTACAAAAGATCAGTAGAAGAAGACTGCATATAACGACAGAATACTGAAATACAAAAGAGTTACAAAAAAGATCAGTAGAAGAAGCCTGTGATATAACGACAAAATACTGCTGTCTCACCCGAATACAAAAGTGGAGTTACAAAAAAGATCAGTAGAAGAAGACTGCGATATAACGACAAAATACTGCTGTCTCACCCGAATACAAAAGTGGAGTTACAAAAAAAAAAAGATCAGTAGAAGAAGACTGCGATATAACGACAAATATAACGACAGAATATATAACGACAGAATACTGCTGTCTCACCCGAATACAAAAGTGGAGTTACAAAAAAGATCAGTAGAAGAAGACTGCGATATAACGACAGAATACTGCTGTCTCACCCGAATACAAAAGTGGAGTTAAAAAGATCAAAAAAGATCAGTAGAAGAAGATCAGTAGAAGAAGCCTGTGATATAACGACAAAATACTGCTGTCTCACCCGAATACAAAAGTGGAGTTACAAAAAAGATCAGTAGAAGAAGACTGCGATATAACGACAGAATACTGCTGTCTCACCCGAATACAAAAGTGGAGTTACAAAAAAGATCAGTAGAAGAAGACTGCGATATAACGACAGAATACTGCTGTCTCACCCAAATTTTAAAACTTTAACTACCCTGGGCGACCGTGCTTTCGTTGCTTTGGCACCTAAACTCTGGAACGATTTACCTCTGGAAATTAGAAAGGCCAAATCTGTTGACACTTTTAAAAAAATTTTAAAGACACATCTTTTTAGTATGGCTTTTCATTCTTAGTTAGGTTTACTTAATACCTATACACAACTATGTCATTTTTATTAATTTTATTTTTAGCAAAACTTTTAAAGATGTACCTTTTAGTAAGGCTTTTTATTCTATATACGGGTGATGTATTTCTTACTAATTTTATCATTTATTTTAGTTATTTTTGTTCCATGCATTGTTTTAATGCACAGTTGATCATCTCGTCATGAAAACTGCGCAATATAAATTCTTAATTATTATTATTATTATTATTATTATTAATTATTGTTAGGATCATTCGTGAATAATAAAATTTACCTTAGTTTCAAACCTTGCATGTTCATACATATCTGAGACCTCATCAATAGTGTCATCTCCACCTCGTATCACATTGCAAGGTGGCTTCTGGAGAGACTTGAGGTGTTCCCTGACAGATTGTTTCTTCTTTCGACTGTACTTGAAGTCAATTGTGCATAATAGATCATCTGTCCATAGAAAGGATGTAAAAAATAAAGAGAGTAAACAATGGAACATTGGAGATGTTTCAGAATGATGTATGAAATAAACAAGGTACCATTTTCCTTGACAGGTAACAGGTCATGAAAAAGCACAGTCAAGACTTTAACACAAGAGGATGTATTTTAAAAAAATGTTAACCCTTTCACTCAAAAAATTCAAGTTTCTTTTAGTAAAGCCCTGAGAAAAAAAATTAATAGAAATATGCAAAAGGTCTCCCAAAGAGGTTTCACTTGAATGAACACCATAATCACCATAGGATTTTGTCTACAGAGTAACACATTAGAGCATTAGCTACATTGTATAGGAAAAAATGGGTTTCAACTAAATAAAGGTTACATTTTTGAGTAATAAAGCCGAATTACTCACACTGAAGTAGTTTTTTGTCATCTCCTGGTTAATTCTTGTAGAAAAGTCTAGAAAAAGGCTTTGTTTTCATTCACAACTCAATTGCAAAGTCTTGGTAACCAAGCATTCCCTCTGAATCCAGAGGTGCAGGCGCAAAGTGCATGGTGTATTCTCCTGTAACACTGTGCATGTAGCACCACTGCCTCAGGATTTAAAGAGAATGCTTGGTTACCAAGACTTAACAAATACTTATAGAGTCCTGAATCAAAACAAAGCATATTTTCAGGAAATATAAAAAATATAGAAATGTACGAAGAGAATTTACCAGACATTACATCAGTGTGAGTAATTCAATGTTATTATGCAAAAATTTAATGCATATGAAGTTGAGATTGATAGAACAATAATAGCTAGAGCAATAATTAATAGTGGTAAAAGTTAGAGTAATAATAATCTCATCAAAACATGAACGCTCTTAGTAGCGTTGAGTCTCGCTTGCTTAAAGATAAGTTTTATTGTCAGCTGGTGCTGTTATGCTACTTTTCGTTTGGAATACAAAACGAGTGCTACCAGTATACACCATATAATTATCATAATGTAAATGTTGTAGTTAATTTTTTTATCTCAGGTAATTTTTATTTTTCCTGTGTTTCGACTTTATTAGCATACATTACCATGCTCAAAAACAAAAGAAAAACAAAAATTACCAGAGACAAAAAATTAACATAAATACTCAAAACATAAAAATTGCAAGGACAGACAGATCTTACTCCAATGAGGAGAACCCTTTCAGGGATTTTACACTCAAAACATTGAACATTGATTTTTACCAGTATAAATGTATATACCCTAACAAGTGGGCAAGATACGGATTGGTACAGTTTTTGTTCAGCACAGGAAAAATGTGTAAGTTTAGCACAACCTTATACAACAGACAGTTAATTCAGTTCACGCGTATTCCTGTTGAATTTGTTGTCCATTTTATAAGATATCAAAATTGCATGAAAGTAATAATAAATTACACTTTCATTGGCTGCTTAGTATCTGCTTTTAATATCTTTGTACAGTTGATGTTTACGCGATCTCAGAGTACAATGTTTAGACCTGTACACAGAGTGCATTTTATCACAGTATCACTGGGATAAAGCCATTTCATTTTCCAGGAAAATTTCAGTTTCTCGACAAAACAATCACTGAATCAGTCAGACTTGGAGTACAATGTAGTTTACTTAAATTTAGTGCTCAGTACAGCAAGCAGGGTTATGTTTTGTGAAATTCATCTATAGCCTGTGGCTCACATCACCATGATCCACAATTTATTTATCTATTTTATTTTCAAGTTTTTTTTCACCGATCCTCGATCCCTGATTGTGGATCCCCGATCATCGATCCTAATTTTCCAAATAAACCTCAAAGTTTTGCTCATGAAGATTATTCTTTTTTTCCACCACTGAAGTAATCAATTGTTCCAACTAATCAACGATTTCAACTAAAACCACTCGACATCTTTTAGTGTGGGTCTACCATGAATAGTGTGTGGATTTGTACGCGACATGACCATATAATGCATTAATTTTATCTTTCCAAGTTTTTCTTTTCAAAACATAGCATTCTGAAAATTGTACATTGTTTTTGAAACATGCAGATTCTGCGCTACCCTGACCCCCTACATGTGTTTACAAAACTATCCCTTCTGTCACGTTCAGCTCTGTGTTTAATTTTTCTCATGTGAAGGTCATAACCAAATTATTTAAAAAAAAAAAGTCTCTAGAGAAAGCACGTGTTTACAGTTTTTGCTTTGTTATGCCTGTTTTGCATTTGCGATTTTATCACCTTGCAATGTCATATAAGCATGAAACGTAACCTGTTTTGTCGAAAAAATATAAAGCAGGATTTTTTGCATGGAAGAAAAAATTTTGCCAAAGAACTACGTGATAAACATTGTGCATTATTTCAGTCATTTCCAAAATTAAACCGCATGCTTATTACAAGACACATTTCCATACAACGAAAGTCATAACGATTCTTATCCCCAGTTTCCACCGTCTCCACTAGGAATGCCTGGGACCATGGCCGACCATTTGGGGAAGACCAACCAAAAAAAACGCCTGCATTTTTAGAGTCTCACTATGCTAAAGCAAGCTTGACTAACAAAGGCCTCGACTGAATGGTTAATTTGAAGACAATTTTATGTCAAGGCTTAACACCTTCTAGCAGCTTCTCCATAATTTATTGTTTCTCATCTTGATTGACAAAAGAACAACAACAAAAATATTTATCGCACGAAGTTTTAAAGTCCATAAGAATAACCTTTGCTGGGCTTCAATAATGGCATAAGGTTCTAGATACATATACAGTCGACTCTCTCTTAACAGACACCTCTATAAGACGGACACCTCTGTAAAACAGACACCTAGAGTTGGTCCTTGTCTTTCTTTACTCTCTTTATTTGACTCTCTATAAGACGGACACCTCTCTAAGACGAACACTTAGTGAGGGTCCTAAAGGTGTCCGTCTTAGAGAGAGTTGACTGTACTGTATTTATTTGATTAAATGCCGCGGCGTTTATTAAATTTTCAGTGTTTCTGATGCGGCGTTTATGTAAGGGGGGCATTTATTCGAGGGTGGTATTTGCTTTGAAATCACTTTTCTTAAATCACTGACAACAGTTACTGTAAATAGTTTTTTAAATATTATGTACTGTTTAAAAAGGTTCCAATGTCTCTTATTTTGCTGAGATAGAATCGTAATTGTCTGGATGGTGTAGATTACAATGTACCAAGTTGTACTCAGTTTTTTCCCATTATCCTTGATTAAATGCCGCATTCTTTTCATTAAGTGAGGCATTTATTTGAGGGCGGCGTTTTATTGATAATTGCTTTCATCTGCGGCGTTTAATCGAGGGTGGCTTTTATTTAAGGGTGGAGTTTAATCGAATAAATACGATATTCAGGTATTTTAATTTCCCACCAACCTAGTTCAGTCATTTTATCCATTGCCTTCATTCTGTATTTGTAGCTCCTTGTGTATTGATCTTCAGGAAAAAAAGCACAATAGTATTTCTGATGAGTAATCACCTTTATGATACACGTACTGTAAGTGGAAAAATAAAATGTTGACAAAATTAATACTGGTATGCTTTTTGCCACAACCTGAAAACTTGGTAAACTGGAGGTACGTACAGTCAACTATCTCATAGGGACCACTTCTCGTTAGCGATCACTTTGAAAATCACCATTTGGTTTCTCAGCTCTCTCGTAAGCGACCACTACTTAAATATCTTAACAACCGTGACCACTTTTTAAACCAGAAATTTGACATATTCTTTTGTTTTCTGTTTCCCATAACCAACCACCCAAAATGATCTCGTATGATTGTAAGAAAACCATGGCTCGAATGTTACGAAAGTTCAGTTTTTGTTAGCACTGACCAAGCATGCGCATGCTGACAGATATAGCAGTTAACTTACAGAAAAGATGGCTGTATTTATGAGCTGGGGGTAAAAAGGTGGATTCTTACATGTACATAGATGCAAAAATGTTATATGTGTGTACGAAGTTTCAACAGTTCCAAGCAATATTATTCAATGCACAAGATTATTGACAGTTGTCTATTTACCTACATTTTAGCTTGTAAGGCAACAACTTTATGTAGTTACGTGTATGTTAATATTTTCAGTTTGAGCTTACATTGTGTATTTTCTTGATTTTTCCTGTAGATGACCACCCCCCAAAAGCGACTACTTTACCGTGCACCAAGGGAGGTCACTTATGAGACAGTTGACTGCATAATAAAATTATTTTTAAAATATTATTTTAATTAAGTTACTGTGCAGCACTTTGAGTTGAAGAATAACCTCAACACTTTTGAGTTGAGGAATACCCTTAACAAGAAACTTGTGCTGGTAGTAAGATTGTTTGCTGGTGACTCAAACCCTCTGTAACTTAAAGTTCATGCTGAGGCAAACCCAAATTGATCATCTCCCCTTAATTTGCTCTATACTATCTGTTAATACATTTGGATCAGTATAAAATTCTGGGAAACTATCCACCCACCCCTCCCCTTAACCAATGTTAAAATGTTAGATTAGGGGAAGGGTAGGTGGAGGGTTTGCCAGTCGAGAATAATGATCATATATTCTTTATGACTTAACTCTGGTTAACTTGTTGGAATGTTCTCATACAATTGCAATGACTAAAACTGTAAAAAAAATAAATAAAAAATGATAGGGAGAATATTATTTTGTCATGGGTACCTGATGGAGATTCATAGTTGGCAGAGCCATCCACTGGTTTGTTGAACTGTTCTGACAACATTCTTGGCTCCATCCTTAATTGAGAAATCCTTTGTAACTGAGCTGAAATCTCTCTTCCTAAACTCTAATTGATCGGAAACACAATATGCACAAATTACATTAATGTGTAATAAGCTGTAAATGTGAAGAAATTTTAATAGATGTGTTAATCGGAGTGGAAATATACTTTTTGATAATCTAGATGAAAATGAATGCACATGTTACTCAGCCACACTGCTGTACAGTGTATGCAAGTAACTCCAGGCTATCCAAGCCACAAGCTACCTACCCATTCAGCAAGAAACTAATCCCATGTCTGTTACCAGAGACTTACATAGAAGCATAATTTATGAGGAGTTGAGGATGGGGGAGGGGATACGGGATAGGGGAGGGTTGACTCCCACTTGAAACAGGCAGTTACTGGATAGGCACTTATTAGAATGAGGGTACTTAACCAAGGGAGCACTTATTAAGATGGAATTAATCCACCAGAAAATTGAGTAATTTTAATTTTCAGTGGACAAAAACCTTGTACCAGAATAATTTAAAGAATATTGCAAATTTCCCAAGAATTGTGAAAACACAGGTAAAATTGTGAGATTTTAAGTGTAAGATGTAATTTTTGAAATTTGACATTCATTTTCTCAGGATCCAATAAGAAAATTTCTTTTGCATTATTACAGATGAATAATTACATCTTTAGCCCTTGAAAAAGGTAAAAAAGAATGCAAATGCTTTAAATTATTCTGGTACAAGGTTTTCGTCCGCGGAAAATCAAAATTACTCAATTTCCTCGTGGATTCCGTCTTAAGGTTCTCCAGTTGGTAACCAAGCGTACCTTAGTGCCATTTATACAGTTGACAGATGGAGTTATCAATGGACCTGTTAAGCTTGTATGTTTTGTTTTCCCATTTCAGACAACGTTATGGTACCCCAGAGAACTGTTTCTTTCAAATGTCGTCTTATGCACGTGTATCCACATGCATTTGTATGCATAATTAATGAAAAGACAAAAGGAAAAGTTCCTGGAGAACATCAGGTGGTCTGAATTGGGAAAACAAAACATACAAGCTAAAAAGGTCTATTAAGTGGCAATAGAAACAGGTTTTCCTCTTATCCTTACGAAGAAAGTGATGGGAGAGGGGAGAGGGCACTTATTCAAGGAGAGCACTTTTTTGTTATTTTGGCCAGGGGTTGGGTGCTTATTCCAGGAAGGGTGTGCACTTATTAGAGCATGCGCACTTATTTGAGCTAATACGTTACTATGTATGTTAAAATTAATCAAGGTTTGAAGCAGCCACCTTGAGATCCAAAGTAAATTATCTGCCAGCTAAGCTAAGCTACACTGTATGCCCTACATTACAGGTAACTTACTCTAGGTGCATCGCTTCCAACAGGGGAGTGCGGTCCTCTTTTTGACAGCAATAACATCCTCAGTATTTGCCGTTTCACAAGAATGACAATAAGAAGTCCAATCTGAAAAGGTTGTCACTGATCAGCATAATTAAATACACTTGAGGTGTTGTGAATGCTGTCAACCTCCACTAACAAACACCTCCAATAAATGGACATTTGGTTGAGTTTAGTTTAATGAATTCGCCACAAACATTTAACAACATTCAACACTAAACAAAAGCAAATAAAGCAAAGGTAACTACATGTACACTGTAATTGTTGTGTCATGAGGAAAGAACATTGTCTCAACTGCAACCTAACTCCCTCAATAACTCAGCAGTTCTGGAGCGCTCTCCATTTTGCCAAACCAATACTGGTTAGCCTGCGTTGCAGCCGGCCCACGCACTCGTCTAAACCCTTTGTATAGTCCGTCTGCGAATTAGTGCACAAAAGCTCGTTCTAATATCCTGCAGAGTCGCAAGGACATATGTGAGCGTTTCTGATAGGCGGGTTTCTTACGAGCCGCACGATTGGCCTAATTTTTACGTGTGCGTGACGGTTGGGCGCAGTGACATGTCAAAATTCACAGAAGGGAGTTGGCAAGGATCGTTTACAGTAATCAATGAAAGATCAGTTCGAACTTTAGAGCCGTCTTCTGAGCAAAAAAACGCTTTGAGATAATTCCTTCAAGGCCAGAATTTGCTAGTAAATTTGCCGGCTGGTTTCCCAGCGTCTTCCAATCGCTGCAGATGTACTACTGCGTATTCTGTAATCTAGCCGACAGTTCTAGAGTCAAAACAAATGAAGAAATCATCACGTTATTCACGATAAAAAAAAAAAAAAACTACACACATGTAGCTATTCAGGTCCAAGCGTTTCGTTGAAAACCAAAGAAACTAAGGTTATTTAGCCGCAATAAAGAAGCTTAAGGCTTAATCAGAGGTAAAAGAAAATCATTTATGCATCTGTGATCAAATCGTCTTAGAAAACATTTGCCAAAAAATAAACTACAGGAACTAATTACTCAATATGTATGAAACAGACCAGCTTCACAACCTCTAAATGTAGCTAAAGGTGAGACTCAAAGCGGCAAAAAAAAAAATTTGCTCAGTCAAATTGTAGAATACTCCCCGCACTGTATAAATTACGCAAAAAGAGAGGAAGAAAAACATCTGTTGTTCAAGCTACTCTAGGGGTCTCTAAAGTCACGTTTCACACTATCACGAGCTCAGTCTCTCTGGTCACGAGCTATGAGTCATGTTTGGCCTGTCAACGCTTAATTCAAATCGGACTAATCACAAACTGCGAAAGAAAATAGCCAATCAATAACGCCGACATATTTCTTTGCGACTCTACGGGATTCGAACACGATATTGTGCACTAATTCGCAGACGCTATATACAGAAGGTTTAGAGCGTCTGCGACGCAGGCTAATACTGGTCAGAAACCAGTGGAACTAATCAGGAGACATGGAACGACATTGTTCGAATAAAGCAAAGTTTCCATCTGCACTGAAGTATTCCATTTACTTTTCAACCGAAATTTTAATAACTTCTCAGCCAAGTGGCACTGGAAACAGGCTCATTTTTCTGAACAGTGGCTGGTAATCAAGCCTAGGTGGACGACTTTTTTCAGAAAATTTCCATCTCCAGGGACCAAAGTGTTCCATTTATATATCGATTTAAGTTTCTGGAAATTTTAGCTAATGGATACCCTGGCTTCGGACGTCCATTTACAAAATACTTAGGATGAAATAAACCATGCTTACAATTTAATAAAGCTCCTGAGATGGACCTCTGGTCACACAAGTAAGCTATGTCATTTCCATGGCTGTGAGAAATCAGTTCAAAATCTGAGCAGGGTCACCAATTGGTTACTCCCATGTGCGCAGGGAATTAACGATGTAATAGCAAACTTGATTGGCTTCATCAAAGAAATTCAGTGCACCAGTATGAAAACCGGTTTTTACATTTAAAATAATGAACGTCAATTCAAAGAGACCTTGTGTTCTTTTAGAGGTGTGATTCAGAAATCTCTGGCTAAACTTCCAAATTTGCAAAAATCCGACAACTGAATCAAAGTTGCTCAAGCAAGAAGCTTTGTTTGAATTTATCCAAAGAAAGGACATACTTTGAATGAATGTGTTGATTTCCTGCTATGCTTTGTAATGTTGGGCTCAGTTCTGCAGTGTTGTTTGCATGAAGTTGAATTCTTTATTTATTTATCTATTTATTGCAATCTTAACAAAAACAGATACTTACAGACAGAAAATTACATAGAGGCAATACTCTAAACAGAATTTACAAGTTGACACAACAATAAGTAGCTTTTCTTACTGATAGTACCCTGGGTACCAGAGGGTTCTTTCTTTCTTTCCTAATTTCGGGTAGTTCTCAGCATGATTTATTTGCTACAGAATCAGCAACTAACATTGTTTTGTTTGGCATAGCCATTGTCTGGCAGTGTTTAGTTGACCTGGTACAGTAATATACCCGTATCATGGTCCAGAAATTCTTGTTACCCTGTTAGCTTCTAAAAACAGCTATTTACAGAGTGTGTATGCTTGCAACCTGTAGTGTATTTTTTGGAAAGGAATTTGTGACAATTTTTTTAAAGCACTTTCCTTTCTAAGCGAGCTTTTGGCCAATTCTATTTTCACGCATTGCAGATGCAGAGGAAAAAACTTGCACATCAGCTCCAAACCGGTTTTTTAATTAATACCAAATCGCCTAAGAAATACACAAGGAAACAAAATAGAGCACAAGTATGTGTACTTTATTTCGTTTCAGGTGAGTTTTGTTTTAATTTTGACTTTTCCCATACAATCCCATACATAAATCTCTTCGTAACGCAACATTGCAACATGTATTAATTTTAACAAGCAGTCACTTCAGTGAGTTTGGGATGCCTGTGGGCAAACATTCAATTTCTGCCATTCAATCACATGCATAGCTTAAGGAGCCATCAAAACCTTGTTATAGTCGTGAAATTCATGTCCCAAAGCGTATTTCAAAAAACTCGCGAAAATCCTAGACATTCCACCGTGCGAGGTCACTAGAAGTCATTCGAGCTGTATTCTATCCTTTGGTCTCATTGGACAACATAAAAAAAGAGGTTTTACGTCACGGAAACTGTTTGGCCGCTCAGGTCGCAGATGTTATTTTCAGGTGGAGAGAAGTGACGACTGGAAACACGTCTGTTTCCACAGGCTACTCATGTACCAGTTTTGAATCTTACCTACCGACACCTTAAATTATGACTTCCGCACAGGCATACACGATAAATGTATGAGGCTGTGCGGAAATTTTACCGAAAATCATACCGTTGAACTTACCGAAATGGTGAAAATAATAGTCATTACCAGCCCAACTCCACCCAACTTCTTCAGGAGTTTTGCATCAGTACTGCTGACAGCAGAGTCCGCCATCTTGAATCAAGGGCAGTTCTTGCTTCTTGTCTCAGAAATTTTGTCCTCAGAGCACAGTTTACAAAACACTGTATATCATAGAGTACAGAAAAACAAGCAATCACATCCTGGGTTTTACCAAACTGGAGATAAACTGAGCTCGAATTGGCTGATCCGCAGAAAAATTCGCCTGATCCAAAAGTCTTGTTTGCTGATTGGTACGTCATGTATGAAGGAAGAATACCACCTGCTTAGTAGCCGCGCCATGTACTATTTTAAAATGGCGGACACTGGTGAAGAAAGAACGTTTTAGAGTGACAACGGAATTTGCAGTGAATCAATGGCGGAAATAAAGCTTACAGACGCCCAGAAAGCTCGCATCGAGAGAAATCGCCAGAGGGCATTAATGCTCCGCAATGCGAGACTTTCCAGTAGGCCATATCCCGAGATAAGATCTCACGACCAAGAGTCTACTCGCACATCTCAAGTGAGCACTTCAAACGCAACCACAGCTCATGCGATTGATACGGGTGGAGGGTTTCTATTAGATCCTGATGATGAAGAAACATTGGATACAGCGCAAAAGAATCTAGTTGAGGATCCAGGTAAGTGCATATCACTTCTTTGTTCAGTTGTTAGACAAAATGCAGACTGCATACATGATACATGTACTTGCAGACTGGCTAGTGAACAAGGTAAACAATTATATGAAAGTAAATCATCGAACTTATAGACGCAACTTTTGCAGTTGCGAAAAGAAAGCCTGAAAAAAAATTCAGGCTTACATACGGGATTTGAATCCTCAACCTCTGTGATACCGTTGCAGCTCTCTTACCAACTGAGTTAACAAGCCAGCTGGGAGTAGGTCGTTAAAATGGTTCGTTATAAACCTGTAAGAGCGCCACACCAGTATTGCAGAGGTCAAGGGTTTGAAAGCTGTACAAGCCTGAATTTTTTTTTCAGGCTTTCTTTTCGCAACTGCAAAAGTTGCATCTATATAACTTTGATGTCTATGTTCATATAATTCTTCACCCCGCATTTTCACATATGATTTTGATATATTCATAACTTCAAGGTAAACAATGTTGTGAAATTATCTCAAAACTATGTCAAGACTTAAAGAAGACTTAAACTTTAGGGATAGGGATAGTTTTGTGGTCATTCCACAACATTGCCCTGTGAAAGTAACTCAAAGTGTAGGTTTAGTATTTGTATAGGTAATAGCATGATTTGTAGTGATATTTGGCACAAGTACCACGAGTGATATTTTGAAATTCTTATACGTAATTTCACGAGCCGTTAGGCGAGTGAAATTTGAGACAATTTTGAAATATCACGAGTGATATTAATGCCAAATATCACGTACAAATCATGCTATTATTTGTTTATACTACTACCCGCAAAAGGTTTGTAATTTTCACGTGTAGGTATTTCAAATTAAGCTGAAATACCACAGCTCTAAGCCAATCAAATTGCAGTAATTTTTCATGTAGTAGTATAAGGTACGTTATTAATTTTGTGAAACGTGTTTTCTGTAAATGTCTTTATTTTCCTTTAAAACAGCCCCTGTACTTGGTGGTCATCAAATACATTGTTCTGAATGCCAGAAAGAGTTCTTGACTTCATATCTCTACAAACATTTTGAGGTTTCTGTTTGTGACAATTGCAGGTAAAAAGTCCTTTAATATTATATACAGTAACTGTAAAAATAATGTACACATGTATCTTTAATAGGTTAAGCTGCACAAATTCCTACCTCCAATACTTGGAAGAGGGAATTTGTGTAGCTTATTAATTTTATAAGTGGCTGCAAAAAATAGTTTAGAATCCAGGAATGTTACAGTTGCGCCCTGCCCTTTTTAAAGAATGAGTAGTATCTGTTATTGAGGGCAACCATTTCTTGGCTAAATGAGTCACCATTTCAACAACATATTTACAACTTCATTGTGCCAACACTTGACCACATTTTGTCTTGCAGAGATCGAGAAGGAAAACATACACTTATAACCAAAACAGAAGCTAAGGAGGTACATATAGGGAATATTTTTATCACTTATTGGATGAAAATTATGCAAATGTAGCTGTGACATTAACTTCAACTGGTGTTACATGCATTTTTTGCAGCAATTCTTGTTGAAAGACTGTGATTTTGACGGAAGACAACCAGCACTAAAGTTTATTTTAAAAAAGAATCCACATTATTCCCGAGGGGAGATGAAGTTGTACCTTAAATCACAGGTATTAAAAGCTTTCAAATTTCTCATCTTTTAGCCTGTGTACTGTGAAAGGCTGATGGAAAAAGAAAACAAATTTTACTGCTTATCTCGGCCTTGTAGGGAACAGTGCAATCATGTACATAAAAACCTCAGGAAGCTGTTGCATCTCTAATCTGCAGGAAGGAGCCGAGAGGTGACATGAAACACTTGGCAAGAGTAACAAAAAGCTGGAGAATCACATAATTTATTATTTAACTAGTGTAAACCAATATCATTAGCTCTGCAGTTATTAAAAGGTAACCCGAGCAACAGATCATGTGCATAAAATTAATGGCAACAATATTTTGAATGATGATACCGTTACATCTTACCCTTACATCCATGTAAAAATTCCTTTGTTGCCATTTTTAGCAAAAAGTTATAAACAGCTAATTATGCCGTTGATTTACCCTAATCAAGTGACAAGTCTCCAAGGGCAAATGGGTAAACAAGCATTCATGGAGGCATTACTCTTACAATGATGATTATTAGACGCCCAGTTATCAGCCTGCGGTGGATGTTTTTATTGAGATTAAATCAGTTTGGTTCAAGCTAATGTGATACTTGCTTTACTAATGGTTTGAGCTACCAGGAGTAAACTGTGTTATTTTGCAGGTTATTCAACGCTCCCATGAAGTGTGGGGAGGAGAAGCTGGATTAGAAGAGGCTAAAGAAGACAAAGCTGAGAAGAGAGAGGTGCAAAAACAACGGCGATTTGACAAGAAAGTTAAAGGTTTCTTCTACCAAAGCTTTTTACCTTTTTACTATCAAGATTATGAAAGTTGCAGTCTCTGTCTAAGTAGTGAGCTTATGCATGTGACGAGCACAACCTTTTTGTGTGAAAATGTGACAGAGCTATCACTTGCATTAAATTTGTTGTGATCATCAGTTAAACTTAAGATCTGTGTAAGGTGAAGTTTGGTAGAAAATTTTTTTAACACAATAATTGTCACAATTGTCACACAATTACAGCTCTATCGCAGCAAAAAGTGAGACATTGGAACTTTAAACATCTTTCTGTGAACATCTTACAGTGAATGTGATTATGAAATAACTGCTGCCCTTCAATAAATGCTGCCACATAGAAAAGGCTAAAATTGTAATAAACACTGAGACATTTAATGGTACAAATGTGGTCTACGCATTATGTCCTTTTGTTATGGTAATTTCCAGTGCAAAATAGCCTGCGAAAACATCCGTTTCTCCTCGCTCTTCGCCGATGGGGACGTTTCGCGCGGAGGAACGTCTGCGACTCAGCGACAGAAATTCCATACTGATGACGTAAAATCTGTCCGGAATCCGGTCAGAATCGCTGATTGGTCAACGGAGTAGTTACATTGTTTTAGCTATTGTAAGACAAAAAGCCACAAAGGTCAAATGTAAACGCGAAGAATCTCTAACAAAACAGTCAATATTTGTGGAATATAGTCTTCTCTAGAAGAAGCATTTGAGTTTTGCTGGAGCTCGTTGGCAGATGAACTCAACACTTTACCAAAATCGACCAGAAGACACGTAAAATTGGACAAATTTATATTTAAAACCTCATGACTGCTGGATTTGTTATGTAAACATTGGTTTGTGTCATCAGTATGGAATTTCTGCAGCTGAGTCACAGACGTTCCTCCTCGCGAAATGTCCCCGGCGGCGAAGAGCGAGGAGAAACGGATGTTTTCACAGGCTAAGTGCAAAAAAAGTCACTGGAAACAGCTTATGTTTTTTATCTTACGAACCAGAACTTCGTCGAGCAGTCAGAACAAGTACATGGAAAAAAGATACCAGTCGACACGAGCATGAGTTCCCTGAAGCAGGACAAGAGGGTGGGGAGGTTTATGATGAGGAAACAGATACATGGACAAAAACCTGCAAAACATGTGGCTATCAACTCACATATGAAAAAATGTAATAAGGAATCAGTCTTATTTCAAAATAATAATGTACAAAACAGAGGGGGTACTCCGGATTTCAAGTGATGGGGATGACCGAATGGGGGTAAAAATCAAAACCCCAAAAAATCCCTGGACCAAAAATTAACCCCCCAAAAATCTCATACTGAATTTCCAAGCCTTTTCAGAAAGCATTCATGATATAACATGAAAAATAAAGTTTTTAGAAACAAGTTTGGTTGTACTTTATTCACAGAACCACGCGGCCGGGATATGTAGGCACTAGCTTGAATCTTCAGATTGTTTTGAATGCCCAAATAAATCCCTACTTCAATCAAGCCGCCCAAAAAAAATACTTGCCAAATTTTCCTAGCCAAAAAACTCACGGAATCAGAAATTTCAAACCCCCCAAAAATCCGTCAATCATCCCCGTCACTTGAAATCTGAAGAACCCCCCTGGGGTACAAAATGTAAAAATATTATTGTATATAAAAATAACACATTTAAATCCACTTACACCTTTTAACTAATATTATAAAGTGTAAGTGTTCAAAAGTACTATCAGTTTTATTTATGTGCTTTCACAATTCACTCTAATTTCATAAAAATATTGCTTTCTTAGTGTAGTCTGAACACAAATAATCTATTTCCTACTGGGCAAGCACTCAAGGGAAGTTTGGGTAGAGGTGTGCCACCTTGGCCTTCAAACCCTGATCCTGTTTACGACAAAAAACCATTCATTTTGCTATGCAAGAGACCCTCCTCATGACCCTGGTTCATTGACATGTAGTTTCATTGAGTTTAATAGTCTCTTAAACAAACAACCATGAATTAGATTTTTTTGGAAAAAACTCTTGGTACCACAAGTGTAGACCTTTAATAGCTAACCTTCACAATCTTCTATAAGCTTGAAAGACTGCCGTTCAATACACTAACTAGTGAAATTGTATACCCTGTTTAAGACTCAAGACCGTGAAAAGCTCGCCATTTTCAGCGGCACATATTGTTTAGAGCAAAAAAGGGAGTGTTCAACCTACAGGATGTTGATATGTTACAGGTCAAAATTAAATTCACGTTAAGGCGGAATCCATCGGGAAATTGAGTAACTTTAATTTTCAGTGGACAAAAACCTTGTACCAGAATAATTTAAAGCATATTGCATTCTTTTTTACATCTTTCAAGGGCTATAGATATAATGATTAGTTATCAGTAATTACACCAAAGAAAATTTCTTAAGGGAGCCCGAGAAAATAAATCATTGTCAAATTTCATAAAATGACATCTTACACATAATTATTTTCACAATTCTTGTGAAATTTGACATTTATTTTCTCGGGCTCCCATAATAAATTGTCTTCAGTGTTATTACAGATAACTAATCACATCTTATAGCCCTTGAAAAATGTAAAAAAGAATGCAATATGCTTTAAATTATTCTGGTACAAGGTTTTTGTCCACTGAATTTAAAATTACTCAATTTCCTGGTGCATTATGTCTAAAAAATTTGTAACCCAGGTTGATTCTCAGTTTCATTCATCTCCTTAGAAGGAATTTCAGAATCAACCTAGGTTAAAAAATTTTAACCTCAATTTAATTTTGACTTGTTACAGATTATTACATGACATGTATACTAGTACCCTGGTACTAATACTAGTTTGGTAACTTTTTAAGTTATATAATTTCACTTCAATGAAACCTGATCAGTGTTTTCATTTTTTGTAGCCAGGACTTTCATAGAAAGTATAATGTACTAATAATTTATTTATAGCTAGCTAGATAAAAAATAGTCTAAACATATTTTAAACAGGCTTATGACATCTTCTCCAAATGTTCCTTCACTGAACTAACAATAGTTCCAACTTCAGCCATTGCACCAATGCCTAAAATGCAAAATAATAACACTGTGAGCTTACTCAGGGGCGGATCTAAGGGGGAGGGTGCAGGGGGTGCGCACCCCCCCCCCCCCGGGATGACCTGAGGCTGCTTTCTAATTAACACTGTGCAATCGCTTCACAGACATACAAAATCTGCTCTATCGTTTGATATGTATTCTCAGCAGTTCACATTATGTTATTTCCTAGTCAAAAGCCCTCTTCTTCCTATTTGCTTTTAAAATTTTTTACGTCATCAGTCAGTTAGTGGTGCACCCCTCCCAAGAAAAATCCTGGATCCGCCCCTATTACTTGAACTGGATTTCTTGTAAGAAATATTATTATTGTAAACATTATATTATTATTATTTATTATTAATTATTATTATTATTACTATTTATAACAGTTGAATTTTCATTAAGGGGCCACCCTCGGGGTACCAGCAAGTAGCCTCTTCATCATAAATTACCATAATCTTTAGCAGAAACACCACTTTTTATTTTTGGAACCAATTTATGAATTATTGTGTAATAGTAGAAGCATTACTGGACCACATTCAGTCGTCACATTCTAACAACAACAACAACAACACTTTATTCTAACTCAGACTGTATTTCCCTTCATCAAATTATTTTCAAAATGAAGCCAAACTACGTGTATCAAGTGCTTGATGGCCACTTCCTATTGACAACAATGGGGGAACTCTTGTTGGGAAGGCCAAAATTTGGCCTTGGCCATGGCTGCTTAATAGAGGTTTATTTTCACATTCTTTTCTTCATTATTATTTTGTGACTTTGATTACTGGTCACTTAATAGAGGGTGGCCACTTAATGTAAGTTTGACTGTATTATTAAAGTTGATTGATACACAGTGTAAAATTGGAAGCAAAGATGGTGTCCCTAGTTTCTATAATAATGTCAAATGAATGCACCTACAATCTCCAACCCCCTGGATGGTGATAGGCATCAAATTCAGCTGGTTCAAACCTTATGAATCAGACTCAGTCATTAGGCTGATTTAGCAACAGAATGGGAACGTCAGTTCAAGACTGCATGAACAAATCAAACAACTTGTTTAGTCCTTTCCACGCACTTCCCCATTGTCAACTGACATCCCTGTTCTTTTGCTAAAACAGCCTATTGATTTCATATTAAAACTTACTAGTGAGAAATAAAACAGTTGTCTGAGACTTCTGTAACCAGGTCCCGGTTGTCCAAACATTGGATAGTGCTATTCATTGGATAAATCACTATCTAGCCAATAAGTATTGGGAAAACCAATAATATAATTTTTTTATTGCATTATCTACTGGACAGAGAGTTACCCTTTTTTGTGCAAATCTTTTGTCTGGATTATACATTATACTTTTAATTAATGTTATTGGTCTGTTAAAGAGTGACCAACGTCAATTTTCTGTTAATTATTCTCCTAATCTTATTAAAATAAAATGATCAATAAAGGGGAAATGCTCTGATCTTTTGTCAAATTCTCTCAACTAATTGTTTAATGTGTGGTGAATGAAATGTGTAGAGATCCCAGGGCCGGGGGTACTTGACCAATATTTGGGTATAGGTGAGCCATTGAGGGTTTGAGACCCTGACCCTGTTTAGCTAGGTGAACACTCTAAATTTTATTACCCTGTTTAGGACAAAATAATGACAAAATGCATGCCATCATGATTTAAAGCCATTTGTTGACAATTGCAATAGAGCAAATTCACGTTACAGTCATTGCTTTTGTATACTTGGAATACAAACAAAATCCATCCGACAAATCAAATCAATCACACAGGCAAAACCCTTTTCACAGACTCACATGAAATTAGATACCCCGTTTAGAACAGTCTCACATGAAATTATATACACTGTTTCACAACAGAGAGGTAAAAAACCACACCGTCTCCAGCGGCACATCCCTGTTGTAGTTAATTTTTATCTCAGGTAATTTTTTTTTCTTCTGTTTCCACAATATTAGCATACATTACCATACCCCAAAACAAAAGAAAAATCAAACATCACCTCGGATAAAAAATTGACTACAAAATCCCCATACAGGCCACATAAAGGAGTACCTCCCCCCCCCTCCACCCCACCTCCACCCCCAGGAGATCAGTGTGGAGAATTTGTATTTGGATATTGGGGTTTAAGGGTTTAAAAAAAGATAGAGTTGTTACCTGTGTCACCACAAGCTAGAGTTTTTCTGATGGGTGGAACATGAGTATATCCAATGTTTACCAGCTGTTCAACATGACTAGAAGTAATTGGGTGCTCCCACATGAAAGTGTTCATCGCTGGACAGAATAGCAGTGGCTTCTTCATGTCCCATGCACGAACTGTGCAAGTCTGTTGAAGAGTTACATAAAAAATGTATGAAAGTAAACCAGAACTTCCTAGCAAACTGGCTATGACACTAAATCATAAGGGCATTAAATCTCAGTCAATATTAATGTCCTTGTCCATGACATTAATTGCACCATGCAGCCTTGTCACTTTTGTCATCTGTTAGTTTGTTCAGACTAGAGCTTACTGGGTTAGAAAAATTTTTCTTAATTATTATCATTTTTATGCTGCCTTACATGTACATGTAAAGGACACCTTCTTTTGGTTACTTGATTAATGAAAAAAAGACTTAGCTCCCTGTCTCTGATAAAATTGGACCAAGAGTAATGTGATTATCATCACTCTCTTTGGAGAAGAAAAACAAATTAAATCATAAGGTTTTGGTTTGAGACTCTTCTTTTCATGCTGTGTAATAAAGAAACTAGTTCAAGCCAAGACAAAAAGTATAACCCTATCATAAAAACTGACAAGTTCAACTTAAATATTTTAAAAATCAGTTTTATTATAGTACAATGTATATAGCAAACATTGCAATGCTCACCAAAAGGTTGTCGCACAATCCATTTGCAATCTTGGCCATTGTATTGGCATCTAGTGGAGCAATAACCATAAGATCTGCCCAGCGTCGTAGCTACTGAAAATCAATACATCAAGGATTTATGGCAACAACTAGGGTACTTATATTATGGGATCCTTCCTGATGAACCTCATATTACTTCATATTGTGAGGAAGTTTTGACAAAAAAAATTCTGTTTCCAAAAAGCTTACATCAAACTTACCAGAAATTAAACATACATGATTTTATTTTAGCTTTTATGGTAGTTGGAGGGCTCAAAGTTAAAGTGTGGTGGAAAACTAAGTTGTCGTTTTTCTTAAGTCATACATCTATAATTACCTTGCTGGCTTTCTGAGCAAGATTTAACAATCATGTCACACTAAAGAAGCCTAACATCACGTTATTATCATTATTTAAATTGAGGAAAAATCTTGTACAAGATTTCAATATCATCAAATGATGAGAAGCAAATAATAGTATCATGTGAAACTACTAGTAACTAAATCGTTACACCACAGAACTTTTTCACGACTCAAAAGTTATAATTATCAGTAGTTGTCAATTGTTCCCATATGTGGGAATTAAAGGTTTTTCAGGGTTCAGTTTACCTCAATATGTAAAACAGGATCTTGTATTGTTCTCCATGCCTATCATTAAACAAAAGACAAGGAAGAAAGATCCAACTCTTCTAAAGGTATTATGATGTATATATCTAATGAAGCCTCAAGAATTTAGACTTAATCACTACGAAAGAAAGCCGGGGGTTGGTGCCGGATCAAGACCTTGAGATGACGGGGGGGGTTGGCATCCAGACCCTAAGATGGGGGGGGGAGGCTGGGCCCCTCCCCTGGATATGCCACTGGGGGTGGGGTAGCAGTGAAGACCAGAAGATATCACACTCCCCCCATGGAGGGCTTTTGGTTTCAGCTCCTTTCCCACCCCACCCCTATGGAAATTTAAATTAAAACTTCAGACTTTTCTTGTAAGATTTTGGCCTCTAAGACTGATCCACCCCGTTGTAATTTTTAATAACTCTCGATAGGGTGCTCTAGATTGGATGTTTTCTAGGTTCTCCCAATCCACTGAGAGACAATAACAGTACACTAAAGCAGCGATAGGAAAGGAGGTGAGCTCTTAAGAGAGAGCTATGTAGAATAAATTTTATTATTTTGTTACGCACCAAATGTGTGGAATAAATCACAAGTTTGCAAGTACAATGGTTTGGTAAGGTTACTTGTCATGTTGGGACCAGCAGGGGGAGGGGTGGGTGGTAAGGTTTGGTAAGGTTACTTGTCATGTTGGGACCAGCAGGGGGAGGGGTGGGTGGTTAACTTTCAATACATACTACCTTACAAATAGCAGTGGCGGATCCAAACCTTCAGATGGGGGGGGTGGTAGTCATCTAGAACGTGACATAAGGGGGAGGGCAGTCTCAAAAAAAAATTTTTTGCCCCTTTGGGACCTCAGTTTAGTCTTAAAATAAGGTGGAGGGGGGCGGTGGGCAGACCCCCTGAGCCTCTCCCCTGGATCAACCACTGAATAGGGGGCAGACCTACACTGTACAACCAGCGGATAATTGCTTGCTTGATTTGCTAGATAATCTCTGCACCCACAATGTAAGAAATGCAATTTTGCTTGTAGACTGTGTACAACCAATGCTCACATCCTGTTCAAGGTAACACCCTGTTTAAGGATCAAGACCCTGAAAACCATACTCTGCTCTGCAGCATGCATATATCAATAGGGGAGTGCTCCACCCCCAGGCCTTATATGTTAGGTAGTATAGAACGTTGACAACTGCCTCCCGGTTACCCTTGCTCCTATTTGTCACACATTCTCATGTAATTAGGTCAGGTAACGTTACCAAGGCTCTGCCTCCAAGAAATCAATGTAAGCTTAGAGGAAGAGCAACATTTGCAACGTAGGTCAAACTTTCTTACCTCCCATTCATCCTTATCCCTGAAAACTTTTGCACGAATTTTGCTCTCATCAAAGAAATGGGTTGAGCAATCTGTAGCGATGACTTGGATATTTGGCTAGAAATAAGAAAAATGCGTGCTTAACCTGCAAGATCAGAATCGTTTGACATTGCCATGCTTTAAATTTCACTCGATTCCTATAAGAAATGATTAGTACCTTTGACGGTAACAGAAGCAGCTCTTCCACAAGCTTGGATAGTTTAATGCTCGCCACACTTCCTGTAACTCCGATAAGTACATTTTTCGACTGATTTGTAGCTGAAGTCGACGTTTCGGTCGCCATTTTGAATGTTATTGTCATACGCTGAGCCGCTGACCATGAGACAAACAAAAAAGAAAATGGAAAGTTTTGGGTTGGGAGGGGACGGTGGGGAGCTCCTTTTCTTTTTTTAGCTGCGTCACAGGTGATCAACGTTGTCACGCAAATGATTTTCGGTGAAACATGTTGAAAAAGAAAACTTCTTCAATCACGGTTATGTTTATTTGATACTGAAATATTATAAAAGTAAACGTTTACACGTTTCTGAACTGACACGTTTCAGATCTTTATTGGGCCACGCTTTAAAGTTTGCGTTCGTGCTATCCAAATTACCTAGGATATTAAAATGAAGGAAAATTATTCTATATGCTGAATTATTTATTCGCTTTTGAATATCAGATGCAACTTTGCTGAAAAGCGAGCATTCGGACGCAATGTTTTCAGTTTTCAATAGCGTTTTCGGTGGGTCTTCACCAGCGAGTTTTTTCACTCTCAAGCGCTAGCTACACTAATGAACTGGTAATTCAGCTTAAAGCCGAAAACACGGTTTGGGTGGGTCTCAAACTTTAAGCCTTGCCAGACTTTGCAAATTAGATTAAATGAATACCGAGAAATTTAAGAAAACTGCAACATGGCGGCGCTCGATCGGGAGCGACTAGCTTTTGTAAGACGTGCCATTTTTATATCGTTTTCAGCAACGGCCGGTAAAAGTGCAAACTATGCACCAGTGCACATCTCAAGCTTTTTAAAATATTTATAATACCTGCTGTATCAAAAAATGTAAACAAACATTATGCTATGATGACAAATGCGGTATGATCTTTAAGCGCTCGTTGGAAATTGAAATATACCTATAATCCTGTATAAATTTGTAAAATATTTTAAGTTTCTATGCTCTTAACAACACTTTGTTTCCTTTTTTCGGCTTTTTCTTGTAGTTCCGTCTGTTATTTCTACCTTTTTAGGTTTGTTATAGTCGTTTTTAACCCATCCTGGAACAAATTTTTCCATTATTTCTTGAGCCATGCATACGAAGGCATCCTCGATGCTTTCATTTTCCTTAGCACTGGTTTCAAAAAACGACATGTCGTATTCAGTAGCTAGCTGTTCTCCCTCTTCGCGTTTAACAGCTCTAGGTCCGCGCAAATCGCATTTGTTGCCAACCAACAGTTTAATTACATCTTCTTTTGCATGTTCATCGATATTCCGCAGCCATTTTGCAATGTTCTCAAAGGAACGCCTGCTTGTAATGTCGTACACGAGCATAATCCCAATGGCGGAGCGGTAATAAGAAACGCTGATAGCGTGGAAGCGTTCCTGTCCCGCCGTATCCCAGATCTGCAATCGTACACGCTTGCCTTCTACCTCTATGGTACGCAGTTTGAAATCAATTCCGATGGTTGAGATGTACGTTTTGTTAAAAACGTCTTCTGAAAAGCGCCACATCAGGCTTGTTTTTCCAACACCCGCATCTCCAAGGAGCAAGACCTTAAACATGTAATCGTATATTAAGTCTCGATTAAGCAGCTTTTTATCAGCCATTGCATTGTACATGCAAAGACTGCTTCTTCTGGTATTTACAGGCCTTAGATTATACACTTATATTGGAATTTGTCGGCACGTTCCGGCGAGTACAGGTGGCACATAATGACTGAACTGCACTGATTGGTCAATGTTATAAAATACGTAACTTACTTGAAATTCTCCGTCTTCGATGTGTCACAAAATATTTATTATTCCGTATTCAGTATTCTAGTATCTTCCAGTTTTTGTGAAAGGGAAAACTTGAAAAAGAAAATAAAAAATACGCCAACTTAAAGGCGTTGTAACTTTAAACACTTTTTAGTGAACCTACCCAAGGTTAATTGTTGTTTATATTTATTCACTTTTTAATGCTTTTGATCAGCTTCTTTAAGTTTTATTCCACAGTATCTTCCGTGCAAAGGCTGTTTTAATTTGCTTTCGTGACAAACTCTACTTTCAGTTTCTAAACTCAGCTGTCACAGAATCATCTCATGCTTTTTTAAATTTTCAATTCCGTAAAAGCTTTTTTTCTATATATATCTATCTGATATTGATAATTACCCCAAGAGAGGGGAGGGGAGTACTCCCTATAATGGCCTATCTGGGTGACTCCGCCCGAAAGGGGTACCTTTTTTAGTCTTTAGGTGTATGAAAGGGTATGGATTACACTAGTTGAAGTATATATGAAAGGGTAGGAAAATCTGTCAGGGACCAAAAAGGGCTAACAGAACGATTTATGGTTATGAAAAAGTCGAGAAAGTTTCCTGGCTTTGTCAGGAGTTAGTCCTATTTAAAAGACAGTGCATTTACAGCGGTTAAAAGAGAGGGAAAGTTCCATGTAAACTATGTAAATGATAAAGGTACTATTTTTCGATGGAATATCTGCGTAAGAGGTACCTTCTCTGTCAGAAATGGTATGAAATGGTATAAAAGGATAAGGGGTTAGTCCTCGGGGCGGAGCCCCCCTGTATAAAACTTTATTGAGCACACCCGGATAATCACATGAACGTCTTTTCCTTGGCCTACCTTGTCATTGAATCTCAAAAGTGCCAAAACTCTCTAGACTGAAATATAAGCCTGAAAATTATTTCGTATATGTAATGCAAAAACAACTAGTTTAACTTAAAAGAACTGCGAAAACAGTTTAATTTTTTCGTTTACACCAGAGGATTTCGTCCACAGACTCAAGAGTTAGACTGGCCAAGATCACGTTCGTCTTCGGAAAAGCCAAGGCCGTTTATATTTGTAGTCTTCTGTTTTGGCTGGAAAACTAAGAACCCTTTCCAAAGGGGCGATATCAATCTCCGTTTTTTCTGATAACAAGTACGGACGTATTAAAAATCAAATTGCACCTCAAACTTGTCAGGGATTAATACATGTCTAACATGCGGGGTCCATGTCGCGCCGAAGGATCCCCTCTCTTCTAAAATCGCCGTGGAATTTTCAATTAGCACCAAAGGAGCCCAAGCAGCACAAATGTGAAAGGATTTAAATGACAATCGCTTTACCTAAGTTGTGTGTTTCTTCCTTCCTGTGTGGTTCCCAAGCCGATTTATGGCCATTTTATGGATTTTATTATAACTTTTTTGCCCCAAGGGATAGGGATTCAGGCCAATAGTTGGGCATAGGTAAGTCGCTGAGGACAAAAAAATCCTAAAATACAGACCCTGTTTAGGACAACACCCTCAAATTAATTACCTTGTTCAGGACTACGGAAAAAATGCACGCCGCATTGTTTACAGGCCATCTATTGGCACTGAATTGCAATAGAGCAAATTCGCGTTATAGTAATTGCTTTTGTTCTCATGGAGTAAAAACAAATTTCACCAAACAAATGAAATCATCATCAATCGTGCAGGCAATACCCTGCTTATCAGAACAGACTCGGACGAAGTTATATACCCTATTTTGGACTGAGAGGACAAAAACCATACCCTATCTTTCCAGCGCCACATCCCCCTATAGGCCATATAAGGGAGTACATCCTCCCTTTTTGCTATCTCTATAATCCTTTACAGAATGCTCAACAATGTGTATACTCATATTTCGGGCTTGAGTCACCTGTGTTGGACAGTTCAAGTCAATTTCGTTTGGTCACGTAGTCTCCTATACCAATAACAATCCATTGTTTTTATGGTCACATTCTTATTTGTAACGAACTTTTAGTTCTATTTCCGTTTTTTTTTAGCCCCTGAAGAAGGTTTGTTTGTTCAAACCGAAATATTTGGCAATTTTTTTAAATACATATATTTTTGTTTTACTCTAGTTTGCCGTTTCATATTTCTCTACAATTTAGTTTAATTGTACTGATCCAGGTCTACAACTGGGAGATCCGGCACCACTCATTGGTTTGTTGTTGTGGACTTGCTGACATTTTATAGCGGAGCTCTCGCGCGCCAAGCGCGCGCAGCGGAGCACCATAGGTAAGAAAATTTAGTTACTACCAAACCGAGAAAATTTGGTTATGACGTCAGCGTACTCCGTCTGTCCGTACACTCTTTCGGGCTGAGGGAAGGGAATTACAAGTGTCAGCCCGTCGGGGGAGGAGTATGTTATAGCTGAGGTGAAATTTTTCATGTCAAGCACCTGGCTCGTTTTCGGCGGTAAATCACATGGCCGCTTGGGCTTTTAGAGAAGAAAACAACAACAACAACAACAACAACAACAACAACAACAAAACGAGCTCTTTCTTTCCACTAAATTTTAATGTCTACATTAACTTAGATAACAGGGAAAGAGCTGGGAGCGAGAAATAAATAACTACGGAGACTAATTTCGTTGGAAGAAAAACATGAAAATTATATAGCGGCGATTAGAAAATGAGAAATGCTAGCGGCTACCTATGTGAAAATGAGCGGCAGTGAAAAAGCAGAGTGAACAGGCAAACAAACATTTCCTCCAATAAATATTAAAGAGAGTTTCGCTTTTAGCCCTGGCTAAATCTATATATTAAATATTTCAAAATTTGACAGGTGAGTTCATGCGGAAAACTTATGCAACATCTTGAAACTTGTTTACTTTGACAGCTGAAGCTGACAGAGTTTTGTGTCAACTTTTTAACTGTCTTTTTCCACTGGATGTACAAGACCAAGAGTCTTCTGTTATTCATGGCTAGTTTGTTTATTAGATTTTTGGTTGAGAGATGCGCCGCTTGTGAAAGTCGGATTGGGATGGCATCGTTTTCGTTTTTCTCCTTGCTTGATGCATAAGAGGGTAAGAGGGCCTTACTTGATAGCTTTAAGGGGCTGCATCTCGAATGGAAAGCATAAGTAATTATTGTATTTGATTTTTGTTTTTTATATCTAATTTCACCAAGTCGAGCACAGTTTATGCGGCAAGTTTATGCACGTTTGTAAGATTTAAGACAATGATCTGACCTAGTATCAGGTTTGATATAAGCTTACAGAACTTTAAAAAGGCTTTAGATATATTTTCTCAGCGCAAATAGAAAGAAACGTACGAAGAATATTTAGTTAAAAATTTGGCCGTAGAAAGAAAACTTTGAGCGATTCTTTTGCCTTGAGTTCATCTTTGAAAAAAAGCAAACACCGGGAGGCAGCTTAAAACATAGTTAAGCTTTAAGCTTTAAGACCCCGGAGTTTTAGAAACACTTTAATACGTGTTTTCGTGAATGAAAATTGATGTCTCTGTAAATGTTTCACCGAGTTATATTTCTTTTATTGATTGTTAGTAGTCTCTCTTGCAATTTTAATCACTGTGCCGTTTGTTTTCAGTCGTTCATGAACATCGCTTGCAGGAGTACTCAAAATGCCGCGCGTATCAAACACCTTTTAAAATTACCCATCGTTATAAAACCATTAAATAAAAAAAATAAACATAATAAATTCTTGATCATGTTGAAGCGTTACTGCATTAATGTTCACTGCAAATTTGGCGCTCGTCAAAAGTGAGAACCGGCTGGCCGTATAGGTGATTTTGGAAATTTTTGGAACGGTTTCGTTAAAAGCCCACGATTGATCGTTCTGAATATATTAATTGACTGAGTGCAATTTGTCTTGAAAAATTGTGAAATACTGCATTCTGTTCGAGGTCTGTATGATAAATAGTACTGTTTCACCTCGGATGTAATGTATAAAAAGTATTAAAAGGTTGGTTTACACACCCCCAGATTTGCTGGCAAGATTTTGTAAAGTAAACTTGTCGAAAGCAAAAAATTCGGCCTGATTTGTTTTCCAAGAATTTGTTTTCCAGGCCTAATCTACTGTGATCAAGAGCCATTATGGCTCTTGAATGTGATCGAAGATGATTGCTATTTTTGGGGTGTACAGATAAGGCTATGAGCTCGATGTAAGATGTTTCACTCTTAAGTTAACTGAATTGTGGATTACAAGTTTATTGTTTGATTTAAATTATAAATTTATTAATGGGAGCTTCGCTTTTAGCCCTGGCTAAATCTATGTATTAGGAGAAATGTCATCAGGATTGGACGGGTAGATGTGGATTGACAGTTCAATCAGAATTTATTGCCATTTCGACCACATTTTGGAAAGAATGGATCGCGTTAACTCTCTGGCAGGTCACTTATAATAATTGCAATGGCCACCAATCCTGCGATGACTAACATACTTTTCAATGGACCCGAAAGCCGGAGCAGGGCCGTCAACAAGACACAGAGGAGAGGCTACAGCGACTATAGACTTGTACAGACAGCTGTACAGAGGCAGCGACAAAATACCGAAATTACAATGCAAACCTGAAACCGATAAAGAGAGAAAACACCGACTGCAGACGCTTCGAGAAAATGCCGCCATAGAATTCGTAACGAAAGCGACGAAGAAACGCAAAGGCGACTGAAAGTTTATCGTCCCAGAGATCTGCTCTTCCCAGTGTTTTTGTCTTAACAGGTTGATAAGGCAATGTAAATTTCACGCTGTGATAAATTTTTCATTCATTTTTACATAAGGTCAGAGACAGTTGAATATGAAGCAGAGATAAAACAATATGGTCACTGT